AAAAAAAAAAAAGAAGAATTAAGATACAATTAAGAAAAATAAAGAAGAAGAAACGGAAGCGGATCTAGACGAGGAAAAATACAATGACTAAACGTAACGACACATCTAACGAGCAACATATCCTAGCGTACTAGGCGGGGAAGAGGCGTACGCTCGAGATCCTCGTCGCGGACTCGTCGCCGAAAGCGTCTTTTCTCTTCTTACCGTCTCTAATCTCTCTATCTCTGTCTCTCTCTCTCTCTCTCTCTCCCTCTCTCTAGCTATCTCTGTCTATGTTTCTCGCGAACGCACACTTCCGGACGAGGAGAAAGGCCTCGCGGAAGACGAGTCCGCTTCGCGCGGGATCTCGAGAACGACGCGCGCCGAGCCCCAAAAATCTTTTCTTTCCTCGAATTACGAGAGCGGGAAGGGGTGGCGAAGCGATACTAAAAATAAGGGATGTTCCACGACGTTAGGGCATCGAAGTAAAATTAAGTCGAACGTCGCAGCGGTGCGCGCGCGCACGGAAAAGCACGGAAAAGCCCGCGATCGAAGCCGATTCCTCGATCGGATCCGCGATCTTTCGGCCGCTGGCCCGAGGAAGCTTCCTCTTCGCGAGAAAAAACGCAAACTGTACATACATGCTCGAGCAGGCGATATTCTGGCCGGTGTGTCGGTAGGCATTTTGTTTCGAACGCGCGCAGATGGCTGCTTGTCGAATTAGTCGTAGGTATATATAGCCGCGGCCGCGGGATCGTCGGATCTCGAGAGACCTCCGGGAGAATTTCGAGGCTCGAGGGGGATCGAGGGGGCTCGAGAAAAAGATCCTTCGATCGACGGAACAAGCGTCGGGAATAACCAAATAGTAACGATAATAGAGAACGCGGCAAACGATTGCGCGAACGCCGCCGCCGCCGCCACCGCCTGTTTTTCGCTTCCCTCGCAGCGTAGACGGGTTCGCGGGCGGAAACGCTACGGAGCAACGTCGCGATTCGACCTTCGTTTCCGCTCGCGAAATCTCTTCCTCGGAAGCCGAGCGGTGCGGAGCGACCGTTCCGCGCAAGAACACGACACGTACACGTACACGACACGCAAACAGGAGGAGACACACGCGGACGCGAACACGGACGCATGGAGGACACATACACACACACACACACACACACACACACACACACACACGCGAAGCGAAAAAATTTCGACGAGACGAAGAAGAAAACAAAAAAATAATACTAATGATAAACAAAGAAAATTGGGATACCGTGACACGTCAGGTATATAAATGTATGTACGAAAGAACAAGGATACGATCAACTCGAACTTTAGTTGCAAAATAACTGATAGGAGTACACACACGAGGTGTCGTTCAGGAACACCTTTATCATTGTCTGATTTGATGATATTTTGTAAGTCTGGACCAGTTGTTAGGTTCTTATTACTCCCATAGCGACTTCTTATGGCGTATTTTCTCTGTATATTGTCAATGTTTATTATTAAATATTTTTCAAATAAACCGACCGCTCGTTGTCATTGCTATCCCCGACACGCTGTACACGCGCGAGCGGAGAACTTCGAGGAAATAAAATATTGTTCGAAGATCGACATCGCTATAAATAGACCGCGGAGATCCCACCGGCGAGCATCCGGTTCGGCCGCGAAACCTTCGACGCTTTTCATTCGGGGAGCTACGCGCGATACCATGTTCGATTACTTTTTAATTTTTCAAAATTTTCAAAATTCTATCGCGACGATCGACCGTCGATCTCGAACGCGGCGTCCGATTCGTAAAACTTTCGCGAGCTTTCGAATGGCCCGACTAAAAGGAGATCGGTACGCGGCGAGTTTAAAAAATTCGAACCTACCGATTTCGATGAAAAAACTGTATGCCACGGACTCTGCGAACTTTGCTCGCGTCGACGCGAAGCCGTTGAAACGCGCCGAGATCTTTTCTGTCCTGGAATCTCGATCGATCGCCCGGCCCTTATTTCCCGGCGCTGAATCATCGCGCACATGGAATTACCATTGCCGTTACCATTCGCCGTCTCTTCTTCGTCGCTTCCGCCTCTCGTACTCTCGCGCCTCGTCCGTCTCGCGTCTCATCCGTCAGTAGTCCGCAGGCCGTCAGCCAAGAAAGACGCGCGTTCGCTCGGCTCTGCGATCGGTCCTCGCGCACGTGCGCGCGACCAGTGGACCACGCTCTCTCGTGTCTCGCAAATCGAACAAGTGGTTCGCAAGTTCGTCGTCGTCTTTTCGACTTAGCAAACGGACGATAGAACGGTCGCGTTCGATTTTCGTCTTTCGTTCGCCGTCGGATCGTTGGACGCTAAAATTTTTGATTCGAAAAATCGTCGAGTCCGTGCGGGGAAGCGAACCACCTTTCGAACGTTGAACCGAGAAAATGCGAACCCTCGGTTCGCGCGCGGACGAACGTTATCCGTCTCTTTTCTCGAACGTAGAGAAGGAATGTTTGCTCGGGAATCGGGAGGTCGACGAATCCCGACCACGTGATCGCTGAATAATGTAAATATGATATAACGTCGCGGCATCCCGCAACTCCGGCGCGGCGCGAAGGACAACGAGCGCTCGCCTGCTCGCGCTCCGGCATACGAAAGAGCGACGATGACGAGAGAGATCGCGTCGACGGTGCGCCGGTCCCCGAAACTCGAAACGGAGGTCACGGCGAGATCCGGATAGACTCGAACCGTGGAGCGATCGCCGATCAAGATCGGCTGTCCGAAGCCGAAAGCCGAAGAGGACACCTACGATTATCGTCGGAAGCGATCCGATTCGCGGCGAGTCGTCGCCACCGCCGCGGAACGGTGACGTAACGGAAAGCCGAGGAAACAAACCGAGTTTTATCGTATTAATTATGCCAACGCGACGACGGCTCGACGAGATTCCAAACCAGGAGACACGCGAGTCTAGCCGCCTCTTGCCTCTTGCCTCTTACGTTCTGCGTCGTATCGTTCGCGAGTCGCGAGTCGTTCGAAATTTAAGTTGAAATCCGAAGCAGAGACAAGTTTCGCTCGGCGTACGAAACCTTTCGGCTCCGGAACACGTGTCCGTAACGAGAACTCGATCGGTTTATGTTTTTAGCACTCGTTACGAGCGTTGGCGAACGAATGCGACAGGAAATTCTTGGTAGCACCTCCAGCGCGAGCCACGGAGACCGAATATTTTTAGTCGGCGAACGGAAGTAAACATGGAGTTCTGCAAACGGCACAAACTGCTGCACGTTCTGCCGCGATCCGGAAGACGAATCGCGTGGTCCTGGCGAACCGAAAACGGCACGATCTTCCGGATCGCCGGCAGAGATCGCTCCGAGGACTGTCGGATAGAGGTCCTGAACGTCCTGCTGCCCTTGGTCGCCGTTCTTCTGGCACTGATCGTTTGCCTTCGCCGGAAATGCGAGAAACGGCGAGTCGGGTGAGTCCGCGACGAGATTTCGATCTCACGATTGGAAAACGAGCCGTCGGAGCTCCGCGGCGAGACGGGGACGCGTCCACCGACGATCGAGATGCCGTCGGCGATACCGTTTTCGACGTTGGAAGAAGGAAGATCTTTCCGTCGACGGACGATTTTGGTTTTCTCGGTGGACTCGTCCCTCCGATAATGGAATCGGAGGACGGGCAACGGGTTTTCCAATTCTCGAGCGGGTGCGATGTTTGACTTTCGCGGAGCATCGTCCAACGGATGGGCTTTCTAGGTTCGGCAAGGACGAGAATTCGTTCCGGAGCTACGAATCTTTCGACGCGTCGCGGCGTCGAACGCGTCACCGGTTTCGGGACCTCCGGGGAATACCCAAGCCCAATTGGGAGAACTCGCGATCGCGGGATACTCCGCGATTCGGAGAGCCGAGTTTCATTCGAACAATTTGCTCCAATTGTCGCGGATCGTGGCCGGGCACGTGGGGATTTCCAGCTGAATCGGACGCGCGCCGAGTCGCGGACTCGTCGATTTTTCGATTCTTCCTCGCCCTGCTCCTCCTCGTGAACGGTGTCGCGAATATCGGTCGATTCTTCGCGCCGGCAAATAGCGACGAAACCGTTCGTTTCGCGGAGTCGGTATTCGAATCTTCTTTAAACATTTACACGCCGAACGAGTTCCACGTTCCGTTCGATATTCCAGCCGCGTCTGCGAAAACCAACGCGACGAACGCGTTCGACTTGTTTCTTAAGCGTCGGCTCCTCGACATCTGGAAGAATTACGTATCGTTTGTAACTCGAACCGGCGCGATGCTTTTCGGATTACCGCAAAAAACATCGGCGCAACGGAGCGCGAATCGATCGACGGATTCGTTCGGCGCGCACGTGTGCGTAATTCTCGACGCGCGTAACGCGCTCCTTTCGAAGAATCTCGATGAAGTAAGATGGCCGTCCCCCGCGCGCGCGTTTGTCCCGGTTCAACCGCTGGAAAATCAACGGCGGCCGCTTCCCGTTTCCCGCCGCCATCCTTCGAAAGAATGCCCGACCTTCGACCGAAATAAACCTTTCGATAACTCGGTCGAATTCTTCGAAACAAACGTCTCGCGGCGAGATCGGCGAGATCGGCGAGCGCGCGCGCGCGCGCCCGGAAAAATGGTAAAACCCTTAAAAGCGCGCAAATTTCGATCCGCGAATATATACGTTGCGAATCCGAAAACTCGCTCGCCTATACCGCGAACCTGTAATATCTGCGCGATCGAGGAAGAACGGCACCCGATCGGTCGAGCGGAAATCGTCGGACGACAACCTCGAGGCGATAAATTACAACACCTGCGGGAAGGTGGTTAATTAATTTTCTCGAGCTCGAGACGACCGTGTACGCTCGCGTGAAAAATTCCGATCCCGTTTCGCTTCGTGTTTCCGATTACCGGGAAATTAATTCGATGATTTTTCTTCGGGGAAAATCGATGGACGCGACGTCTCGCGGATGATCGATCGGTCCCGTTCGAATCGTTCTTCGATGGAAGCGCTACGATCGCCGCGCGCACCCGTCTCACCGACCATGGAATCGCGAGATCGAAGTTTCCTCGAGCGTGGAACGCCTTTTGGGTCGATACTCGGTTTTCCGAAGTGTTCCAAGGTTTTCCCGACCGTCGAAGAAAATTGAAACGGGAGAATCGACGCGAGGATCGAGAGGTCTTCGTTCTTGTTTTTCGTTCGCAGAAGCTCCGGAGGACGTCTTCCGTTTCACACGACCAGGACATCGTTCTGCATATCGATCCTTCTGATCCTTCTCCTGGAGGTTTGCGAGTCCTTTCTGACGACCGTATCCCTGTCGTCGATATTCACGGTTTTTGCGGTAGTTTCTTGCTGGATTCTCCATCGGAGGACAGAGGTCGACGGCAGCGACGACTCCGGGATCGCGTTCACGGCAGCGATCTTCGCCGCAATTGGCTCGGCGCGTGCCTGGAAGTGCGTTTACCTATCCAGGTTCGTGAACGATCGGCCGAGATCGTGTAAAATATCTTAAACTCGAAGATCGCAGTCCACGAATACGTTCTTCTCAATTTCGTCAGGTACGGTCTGTCGATCGGCCACGTTCGGTTCGCGACAGCAGCATCGACCGCCATTTTGTGCGGTTCCTTCGCCGTCCTGGACTCGTACGCGCTCTATCTCACGGTAAGCGTTAAGGATTATCGTGTCCCGATCTCGTCCCGATCGCGCCAGATTCGATCCGAACTCGCTCGGAGAACCGCCTCCGCGAGAAGCACCTGCGCGGGAATCGCGCGTCGCGCAGCCTTATCGAGAAGAGGCCGGCAACCGGGCGCAAACATTTGTTTTACATTTTCTCGGCTTGTTCGAACGATAGCGTTTATTATCGCGGCCCCGAGCGCCGGGCCGATCGAGCAGCGAACGCTGCTTTTCCGTCGCCGCGCCGCGCCGCGCCGTCGCGCCGCTCTAAAACTAGATCGCAAAAATAGATGCGGAACTTCTGCGCCGTTTTTCGCGGAAATAAAACCCCGTGCCGATTCGCGGACCGACGTCCGGCCAAATATTTTTCTCCCGAGCGCGATTTTCCTTCGGCGGATCTGCGCGCGTCGGCGCGCAAAGGCCGCGGCTAAACGCGGCTCTGCTTTTTTTAAACCTCCGTATGATTTCGCGACGCATCGTTCGCGTTCCTTTCGTCGCTCCGCGAAGAATTTGTTCGTTTCATTATCGTTCGCGGTATTTTTAACCGAAACGTTTGCGCGCGGTCGTAGCTTCGAAACGGTTTCGAGAGACAATGGAGCGCTCCGCGGTTCGATTCGAGCGCACGGTTCTTCTTTTCTTCGACGTAGCAGAGCGCGAGAAGGAAACGGTGGCAGAGAATCGAAAGAAGATCGGAAAGAAAGAGATCGAAGGGGCTCGCATTCTCACCGAGTACCGAAGAGCGGTCGAAGAGTACCCCGATTCCTCGAGCCGATCGATTCGATCGAGAAATTCCCGGTCGCGTCGACGCGCGACGATGCCGCTGCCGCTGCCACTGCCCCCCCCCCCCTCCTAGCCCCCGGTTCCGTCGAATTGGCCGCGAACCAGACAGCATATTTCGCGTCTAATTATAATCGCGTTAAGAGCGCACGCCTCTTCGATGGGCTGGCAACGCTCTCGCGATTCCAGACCCGCTCGCGCTCCGAATAAACGATCCGCGCGCGTCCTCGCTCCTTGACCCACTAACGGCGAGCCGCTGGAGCGTGCCCCAGCGGATCGCTCGAAACACTCCAGATACGCGGAAAGCCGTTTTCTCCCGTTGCTCCAGGCCAGAAGAAAGAGGAGACGCCCGATCGTGCGGGCAGCGGACGAACCGGAGACCGCTTACAGGCACTCCGAAGCGACCTTCGTCGGCAGGATCACCTTCCACTGGGTGGTCGGTCTGCTGTCGAAGGGCTACGAGGCTCCCTTGGAGCGGCAAGACCTCGGCCAGCTGCCCGAAGAAGAGTCCGCCGCGCGGCAGTTCGAAAAGTTCAAAGCGATCTTGGACGAGGAGAGGGTGAGCGACGCGAAACCGAAATTTCGTGCCGTTCCATTCGACGTTACCGATTATTCGTTGCGATTTCTATCGAAGGAAAAGGGCCGACCGTCCCTTTGGCGATGTTTCTGGAAGCGAGTATGGTTTCCGTTCGCCGTCGGAGGGTTCTTGAAGCTGCTGGGAGACGCCGCAGCCCTCGTCGGACCGATGACCATTTCGAAAATCTTGGATCACGTCTCCGCGACGCGGAACGGGACGGATCACCGAACCTATCGAGTACTAAATATTATCGAATCGCGTTCGAGTCTCCGACGAACCGCGTCGTTGTCCGAGATATCGCTGACCGAGCGATTCGAACGTTTCCAGAGCGCCATGACCTTCTCGGAGATTCTCGACAACGGCTACTTCCTGGCGTTGCTGGCGTTCGCGTTCGCTCTGCTGCAGAGCACTCTGAGCCAGGCTTCCACTCACGTGCTCTGCGTCGAGGGGATTCGTTTGAAGACCGCGCTTCAGGTAGGCTCGATCCTCGAGAGCCGATCTCTCGAAGGCTCTTCGTCTGTACATAATTCGATGTTGCGCGGCAGGCTCTGTTGTACGATAAAGCGTTGCGCTTGTGTTCGTGGAGCATCGACGAGGACGACGAGAAGGACGGGGAGCGGCAGAGGGGTCAGCGGACGACCGACGCGGCCGCTCTGACGAATCTGGTGTCCGAGGACGCTTACAACGTGATGAGCTTCTTCTGGATCGGCCATTACGCTTGGGCCATTCCGTTGAAGGTAAGTCCTCGGTTACCTCGGTTTCCCCAAAAACGACCTTGCTCGATTCCAGATCGCCGCGATAGTCTTCCTGCTCTACGCGAAGCTGGGCGTCGGCGCCATCGTCGGCGCGCTCTGCTGCATCCTCCTCGTCGCTCCGGTGCAACTGATCCTCGGGAAGAAAATGTCGGAGAACTTCAAATCCGTCACGGTATTCGTCCATCTCGCGTCTTCCATCCCGCGGCGCCTCGTTCCGAATCGTTCCGAATCGTTCCGACGAATGGAATTCTTTCAGAGCAGAAGCGACGCGAGGCTGCGTCTCGTCAACGAGGTGCTCCAGGGGATGAAGCTGGCGAAGCTCCGGGCCTGGGAGGACGTCTTCGAGCGGAAGATCGCGAGGACCAGAGACGAGGAGCTCGAAGCGCTGGACAAAGACTCGCTCTATTGGGCTCTGATCGGTAAATTCGATTTCTTACGCCGAGGAAATTTAACGGGGGCCGCTAGATCCAATACGATTCTCGTCGCCGCTAGATTTCCTCTCTCACGCTTCCTCGGTCCTGACGACGCTCTTCGCGTTCGGAGCCCGCTACTGGATAGAGGACCGCAGCCTGGAGGCTGGCAACGTTTTCGCCGGCCTGGCTCTCTTCTCGCAGCTCACCGTGCCCCTCCTGATTTTTCCAGTGACGATACCGATCGTCGTCGACGCGATGGTGAGCCGCTCTCTCGCGTTCTCGCGGTCTCGTTCGCTCATTCGCGACGACGTTTTCTTCAGGTGTCCACGACGAGGATGGAGGACTTTCTTCGACTTCCGGACATGGAGAACGTTCTGCCGGATCTTAGGGACGGGAAGTCGAAGGAGGCCGACGCCGACGACGACGACGACGACGACGCGTCGTCGAGGACCGATTCCGTCGAGGAGAGCACCGTGAGTCCCGGCGAATCGGTTCTTAAACGGCGAACCTCGGCTATCGCGTAGCCGAGTCTTCGTCTCAAGTTCGAGTTGTTCAAGGTTGCAGCGACGAAGGTGCAGAGCGACGCGACCTACGGATCGTTGGGCAACATCGTGGAGGACGAGGAGGACGGAGAGTCTTGCGGATCGAGGGACTACCGTTGCCGCGTCGACGTCGACTCTTCCGCGGACACGGTGTTCGAGAAGGATCCGGAAACTCCGATCCTTCGGATCAAGGAATGCGCGTTCTCCGTCCGAGACTCCGAGGAGGGAAAGCCGCCGATGTCGATCCAGGCGCTCGACTTTCCCCGCGGTAAATTCAAAGTGTATCGGTCTCTGCGCGCGGACACTTGTCTCGAACTGATTCGCGACTCGCTTTCCAGGCCAGCTGACGCTTATCGTCGGAAAAACCGGAAGCGGAAAGACGTCCCTGCTGCTGGGGATGTTGGGCGAGATCCAGAGGACGTCGGGATCGATCGAATGGAGCAAGTGAGTGTTTTCGCGAATCGCTCGAATCGACGCCGTCCGCTAAACCGATCGAAACCTTTCGAAACAGGGGTTCGAAGATAGCCTACGTGGCGCAGAGAGCCTGGCTTCTGAACGCGACCTTCAGGGACAACATCCTCTTCGGATCTGCCTACAGGCCGAAGCGATACCGAAGCGTGTTGAAGGCCTGCGCTCTGCAACCGGACGTCGACGTCCTGCCGGGACAGGATCTCGCGCGGATCGGCGAAAACGGGATCAATCTGAGCGGTGGCCAAAAGCAGAGGATCGCCATAGCTCGGGCCATCTACAGCGACGCGGACGTAGCGATCATGGTTGGTTCGCGCGATCTCCATTTAGTTCTATGCGAGCGATGCTAAACCCTCGAACGCGCGCAGGACGACCCTCTGTCCGCCTTGGATCCTCAAGTGGGCCGACAGATCTTCGACCAGGGGATCCGGAAACTCCTGCTGAGAACCGGCCGCACCGTCGTCATGGTCACTCATCGCTTGGATTTGTTGTCGGCCGCTCATCGGGTGATCGTCATGGACGATTGCCGGATCAGAGCCACGGGCACCAAATCCGCGATCGAGGAGTCGGACCCAAAGTTGGCTACCGAATGGAGAAACGCGGCGACGAGACAACAGGATCGGCGGAACAGTCGCAGAATCGCGAGGGACTGGTGGTCTCTGCCGAGGCTGGTTTCCAGAATCGGTATCACCGCGAAGAACGAAAACGCCGCCGATGGATCCTGGATCGCCGAGCAGGATGCTCGCGCGGTGAGTCACCCGAACGGCCACCCTGTACAGCGTACGCTCCGTACCGTTCGCATAATCGATCGCGTCTCTGCCCAGAATCCGCCAACCTTCGTGCCCCTCAGGATGCGAAGGACCGCGCTTTCGGGGTCGAGCTACCTGACCCCCGACCTCGCGGACCTTCCGGTGCCAACGGACGAGTGGAACATCGCCGAGAAGCCGTCCAAATTCCATCGGAACGCTGCCAGATCGATCAGTCTGCAACCCCAAAGACGGCCACCGCCGGTTCTTCGTCAAAGCAGCACCCCGACCATGCTCGAAAGCGGACGCGTCGCACCCAGGTAGAGACGTCGCGTTGTCCGATTTCGGGTACCGTTTCTTACCGCATCGACTTCGAAGATCGTTCTTCTTCTTCAGGAAAAGGAACAACACCTTCGACAACGGACGGACCAGCGGCGTCTTCGCACAGATATTCTCCGGCAGGTTGGACCCGTACGAATCGCCGTTGTTATATTGCGCCGAATAATGTCGCACTTTTCTCCATTTTCGTGTTCGTCAATTTCCGGAAGAGATCCCTCTGACAACCACCTGTAACCATTTTTTGCATATTCGAGTTCGAATCAATCAATTAATTAATTAATTACCGACCGGTTCTCTGCCCTTGGTTTAGTTTTTCATCTTCCAATTTTGCCAAAACGAACGTTTTCAGACGGCCCTGCGTCGAGTACGCGCGAGCGATCGCGACGCCTCTCGCGGAGAAATGGCGAAGCTCCGTTCGGTGTCCGTACAGCGCCAATCGATGCAGGGGCAAAACGCTGAAACCGTTGGCCAAAATCGACCGTCGGTAATTCGACCAACGGTTTCAGCGTTTCGACGCTGCGCGCGATGCCGCTATTTTTATCTTTCCATAAAAGCAGACGATTCTTGCCGGATTTCACTTTACATCTTACGGTAAAAGCGGTTCGAATCGTCCGTGCTTCGTATTCGCAACATCGCGTATAAACCTTCGTCCTTGTTAATCTTCCCGGATAAAGGAGATTCGAATGCCGCCACACCGCCTCGTCGAAGCTATTAAAGGAAGACACAATTGTTTATACTCGAACGCGGTACCCCGATATCTTGCAATCGATTCGGAGGATTCTTATTTTCGATGAATATTCGTGGTCTAATCGCGGTAGTTGCGCGTTAACCTCGAACTTTCTCTCGCTTGTAGAATCGTCGCGCATCCCAACGAACGAATCGTCCTTGAACGGAGAACGGAACGTGCCGCGCAAATTAATGCCGTCCAATAATGGCGGGCGAACGCGATTCGAGATCGAAAGGTATAGATTCGAAAATTACGGATACATCGTTTCTCCACAGGTCCAGCCAGGTGCGCGAGCAAGATCGTCTTCCGGCGAAGAGACTGTTGTCGGTGGAGTCCAAGGGAGCGGAAAGCAACGATGCGGAAGAAGGTTGGTAGACGATCTCCGATCGATCGTTGCGTTCTCTCGTACGATCGCGCGTATACTTTGGGATTTATTCGAAATCCTGCTTCTACTCGCTGACGCTGGCTCGTCGATGCGACAGGAAGCTGCGACGAGGAAGATCGCGAGTCCTGCGAAGACGGACGTGGAACGGTCACCGGAACGATATGCCTGGATTACTCGAAGGCGGGAGGCTGGATACCCGGTTCGATCTACGCGGGGCTGGCGATCCTCTGCCAGATCGTTCGCGTCTACACGGACCTCTGGCTCGGTCGCTGGACGGATCGAGAAAGTGAAACTTTGGGCGAGGGAGAAGAAAACGTGATCGCTAAAATTTTCCGTTTACCGCCGATCGAACGATCGAACGATTCGACTCATGCTCGGACGAAATCTTATCGAAATTCCAGACTTGGTTCTACTTCAGGGTCTACATAGCCCTTTCCGCGAGCTCCATCCTCCTGTCTTTCGCGTGCAACGCGGTCGGTCAATGGACGGGAGCCAGAGCCAGGAGGCGACTGCACGAGGAAGCGATTTCCAGACTTCTGAGGGCGCCTTTGTCGTTCTTCGAGCGCAACCCCGTTGGGAAGATCCTTAGCCGATTCAGCGCCGACACGGGCGTCATAGACAAGGTTTCCGTTCGCCGAATACCAGCCGAGAGAGCCTCGCGGATTCGTCGCGGTACGAGACTCTCGAACGGGATTTTTGTTACAGAAATTGTCCACGTCGATCCAGAGACTGACCTTCTTCGCTTTGCTGTGCGGATCGGCGATCGCGGTGAACGCGATCGTCTCGCCGTGGTTCCTCGTCGCAGCTCTGCCCACCTGTGCGATCTATTACCTGGTCCAAAGATTTTACAGGCGCACCGCGAGGCATTTGCAGCGATTGGACGGCAGGTTCGACGATTTTCTATCGCATCGAAACGTATCGAAACGCCATCCGATCCGTACCGCTCGGCGCGAAATCGTTCTCGTTCCCTTCGATCGTAGTCCCGGCTTCGACGTTGGTTGCGTCGGTACGTCGTTCTCGTGTACGCGTCTCGTATTTTCTTTTATAGAAACGGGCCCTCGCGCAACCCCTACAAACAACGAGCATCGCGGTGTAGCAGTAAGTAAAATCGAAAGATCGAGACGGAGGAGTTGAAAAGAGCGCGATTGCGAATTTTCCAGCACTCGATGGCCGATCGCGACCCACTTTTCCGAAACTTTGGCAGGTCTAGCCACGTTGAGAGCCTCGAAACAGGAGGATCGGTTCATGGATCGAGCTACCAAGTGTTTGGACGTCAACGCGAACGCGTTTTTACTTTTGAACGCGAGCGGCCGATGGTTGGGCATCGCATTGGTAAGAAAACCGACCGATTCTTTTCGACGCGTGACGTAGAAAATTAAATTCAGCTGGACAGCTGAAAGGTATTTGCGACTACCGATCGACTCGGACGTTTCTAGGATTACTTGGGTGCCGCGATAGTGGTCGCAGCGACGTTCGCCGCGTTGATTTCCGCGGAACTCTATCCGAGTCGCGTGACACCGGCTCTGGTGGGTTTAGCGATCAACTATACTCTTCTGGTACCCATCTATTTGAACTGGGTGGTGAAGTTCACCGCGGAGATCGAGATGTACATGGGCAGCGTGGCGAGGATTTCCGCTTACAGGCACGCCGAATCCGAAGATTATCGAGACGAGGACGAAGACGGTAGCTTCTTCGCGATCTTCGCGTATTAATATTCTTCGGTCATCGATTCGATGTTTCGCAATTTTGTTCAGGCCACAACCTGGTGCCCGAAGTCTGGCCCGACAAAGGCGAAATCGTGTTCGACGACGTGTCTCTGATGTACCACGCGCAAAGGGAACCGGCGATCTCCAACCTGACCTTGAAGATCCCGGCAGGACAGAAGGTGAGACAGAGAGAAAGAGAGAGAGAGAGAGAGAGAGAGAGAGAGAGAGGTGGTTGAGAAAATCATCTTCGAAAATCGANGTTGCGTTCTCTCGTACGATCGCGCGTATACTTTGGGATTTATTCGAAATCCTGCTTCTACTCGCTGACGCTGGCTCGTCGATGCGACAGGAAGCTGCGACGAGGAAGATCGCGAGTCCTGCGAAGACGGACGTGGAACGGTCACCGGAACGATATGCCTGGATTACTCGAAGGCGGGAGGCTGGATACCCGGTTCGATCTACGCGGGGCTGGCGATCCTCTGCCAGATCGTTCGCGTCTACACGGACCTCTGGCTCGGTCGCTGGACGGATCGAGAAAGTGAAACTTTGGGCGAGGGAGAAGAAAACGTGATCGCTAAAATTTTCCGTTTACCGCCGATCGAACGATCGAACGATTCGACTCATGCTCGGACGAAATCTTATCGAAATTCCAGACTTGGTTCTACTTCAGGGTCTACATAGCCCTTTCCGCGAGCTCCATCCTCCTGTCTTTCGCGTGCAACGCGGTCGGTCAATGGACGGGAGCCAGAGCCAGGAGGCGACTGCACGAGGAAGCGATTTCCAGACTTCTGAGGGCGCCTTTGTCGTTCTTCGAGCGCAACCCCGTTGGGAAGATCCTTAGCCGATTCAGCGCCGACACGGGCGTCATAGACAAGGTTTCCGTTCGCCGAATACCAGCCGAGAGAGCCTCGCGGATTCGTCGCGGTACGAGACTCTCGAACGGGATTTTTGTTACAGAAATTGTCCACGTCGATCCAGAGACTGACCTTCTTCGCTTTGCTGTGCGGATCGGCGATCGCGGTGAACGCGATCGTCTCGCCGTGGTTCCTCGTCGCAGCTCTGCCCACCTGTGCGATCTATTACCTGGTCCAAAGATTTTACAGGCGCACCGCGAGGCATTTGCAGCGATTGGACGGCAGGTTCGACGATTTTCTATCGCATCGAAACGTATCGAAACGCCATCCGATCCGTACCGCTCGGCGCGAAATCGTTCTCGTTCCCTTCGATCGTAGTCCCGGCTTCGACGTTGGTTGCGTCGGTACGTCGTTCTCGTGTACGCGTCTCGTATTTTCTTTTATAGAAACGGGCCCTCGCGCAACCCCTACAAACAACGAGCATCGCGGTGTAGCAGTAAGTAAAATCGAAAGATCGAGACGGAGGAGTTGAAAAGAGCGCGATTGCGAATTTTCCAGCACTCGATGGCCGATCGCGACCCACTTTTCCGAAACTTTGGCAGGTCTAGCCACGTTGAGAGCCTCGAAACAGGAGGATCGGTTCATGGATCGAGCTACCAAGTGTTTGGACGTCAACGCGAACGCGTTTTTACTTTTGAACGCGAGCGGCCGATGGTTGGGCATCGCATTGGTAAGAAAACCGACCGATTCTTTTCGACGCGTGACGTAGAAAATTAAATTCAGCTGGACAGCTGAAAGGTATTTGCGACTACCGATCGACTCGGACGTTTCTAGGATTACTTGGGTGCCGCGATAGTGGTCGCAGCGACGTTCGCCGCGTTGATTTCCGCGGAACTCTATCCGAGTCGCGTGACACCGGCTCTGGTGGGTTTAGCGATCAACTATACTCTTCTGGTACCCATCTATTTGAACTGGGTGGTGAAGTTCACCGCGGAGATCGAGATGTACATGGGCAGCGTGGCGAGGATTTCCGCTTACAGGCACGCCGAATCCGAAGATTATCGAGACGAGGACGAAGACGGTAGCTTCTTCGCGATCTTCGCGTATTAATATTCTTCGGTCATCGATTCGATGTTTCGCAATTTTGTTCAGGCCACAACCTGGTGCCCGAAGTCTGGCCCGACAAAGGCGAAATCGTGTTCGACGACGTGTCTCTGATGTACCACGCGCAAAGGGAACCGGCGATCTCCAACCTGACCTTGAAGATCCCGGCAGGACAGAAGGTGAGACAGAGAGAAAGAGAGAGAGAGAGAGAGAGAGAGAGAGAGAGAGGTGGTTGAGAAAATCATCTTCGAAAATCGATCGATCGTTTTCGCTTAGATCGGTGTCTGCGGAAGAACCGGGAGCGGCAAGTCCACCGCGATGATGGCGCTCTTTCGATTGGTGGAGGTTGCTCGAGGCAGAATCCTGATCGACGGGGTAGACGTTCGTCGGTTGCCTCTGAGGACCCTTCGATCCAGACTCTCGGCGATTCCTCAGGACGCGATCATGTTCGGTGGCACCATTCGGTAAATATTGATCGCGTTTCTCCCCGCGACGTTCTCGCAAACACGGAATCACGAAGATCGAACACGATCGACAGGGAAAACTTGGACCCCCTCCGCGAGCACGACGATCGAGAACTCTGGAACGCGTTGGAAGTCGCGCAGATCAAGGACGCCGTCGCTTCGCACCCCGCGGGTCTCGGTAAGGCCGCGTCTCGTTCACCGACCGATATACCAAACTCCGCGAGCTGAAGCATTTTCTCTCTCCGAAATCAGACTTCGAGGTTCGCGAAGGCGGCGAGAACTTCTCCACGGGTCAGCTGCAGCTGCTCTGCATGGCCCGGACGATCCTCCGGAAGTCGCCGATCGTCGTTCTCGACGAGGCGACCAGCGGGCTGGACGCTGCCACCGAGAAGTCGCTTCTGAAGACGGTCTCGGCCACCTTCGAGAACAGAACCGTGATCGTTATCGCGGTAACCGCCTCGCGTCTCTCGAAACCCAAGCGCGAGCACACGGCACTCACCACCGATATTTTCTTTCGTTCCGTTTTCAGCACCGTGCGGCGGCTCTGCTCGACTGCGATCGCATAATCGTGTTCCACGAGGGCAAGATCGTCGAGGATGGCTCGCCGGCGGATCTGTCCGGACGACCGGGAGGCTTCTTCGCGAACATGGCGAAGTCCAACGACAGGGACGAGGACGCGAGCCGCTGAGAGCGAGGAGTCTACGCGAAAACCGATCGCGAGGAGCATCTATTTTTGATAAGCGAGACAACCGTTCGTTGCCGTTTTACTTTTTCTATGTCGTAATAAAATGGTCGTTGATCGACTACGCGCTCTCGTTTCATCGATCCCGTCCAAATCCTGCTTTTTTTCTTTTTCCGTTTTCGTTCAGGCCTCGAACTCCAGCCGCGAATAAAGAAAATGAGAGGTGCGAACGATCGACGACCACCAGCGAGACGACGACTCCGCCCGAATCATCGATCGCTGCGCTTCGAACGCGGAGGAGAACCGGTCGGTGACCAGAGGCGCCTCGTCCGGAGCATCTCGAAGCGCGATCGATCGCGGATCGCTCGCGGAACGAACGTCCGCGAAGAGTGGACAGGGTATCGATCGCGCGGTGTCGGTCCACGCGTGGCCGGCGAGCGACGCGCGACGGTGGCCAGCGGACAAGGTGCCAAACGATAATAATTACCAATACCCCCACGGCAACGCGGTATCGCGATATCGCGCGCCGCGATGGAAAACGTGCGCTCGTTTTTCTGCCAGTAGCATCGAGACCGGTCCGTCGACAGCTCGCCGGCACTCGGGTGTCCGCCAGCGAAAGTTCCGTCGTTCTCCGTCGATCGGCTATTTTCGAGGTCCGCGAATCGTCTTTTCCCTGTGGCTCGACCGACCAAGCTTTCGCACCGCGCAGGAAACGCGAGTGCTTTTAAAACTACCAGATTACGACTCTACGGTTACGCGGTCGATGCAAAAAAGTATCGCGGCAGGTAGCAGGGAGCAGGGAGCAGAGTGCAGAGAGAATCTTCGGTTCGCGGATCTCTCGATGGAAGACCGTGAACGGAGTTGATCCGTCCCGCGCGTGTGCAACGTCGATCGAACCCTTTGGGAACGGTTGTCGGCGTATCGAGGATGTCGAATCTCGCGGAAGCTGCAAGCGTATCGCTCGATCGTATGCGCGAACAAAGATCGGGATACAACTTTGCCGCCGTAGTTTCCGTAAAACCAGCTTTCTAATCGGTAATTATACGTACGTCGCGAACCATCGATTCGATCGCGATCGGCGACGGACGATGAATCTCGATAGCGGACTCGCCGGCCGTCGGACGGTTTCCTAAAACCCGGAACAGGAAGAACCTTCTTCCGAGGAGATAGTCGCGAAATCGTTTCGAACGAGGGTCTACGTCCTCGCGTCCGAGGAAAGCGAGCGCTTTCGGCGCGACATAGCGCGACGTCGTTTCGTTCGGACTCGACGGTGAGAAAGGTGAAAACGGAACGTTCGATAAACGAACGACGATAACGGCGTGGACCGAGTTAGGCGATAACAGGCCGAGATAAGAAAATGGGATACGGGGAAACCCGGTCCCGTCTTCCAGGAAATGGCCGCGAACGTCGAAGAACCGATCGTCGTTCTCCGAACCGTTGTTTCGATTCGAATCGAGACACCTTGGTTTTGGTGACGCGCGCGCTGACGCAACGCGCTCGCGAGGCTCGAGGCTCGAGGCTCGAGGCTCGACGGACGCGCGTCGGTGTTGGTTGCTTACCGGTGCCTATCGTCGCGGAACTCGAACATCCATCAACGAACGCTCGCGTTTAAACACCTCGGACGACGACGGATCGATTTCTCGGTACAGATGCAGGTGCGGATGCTCCGCGATCGGATGCGCGGCAATTTTCCGAGATTACAAACGAAACGCCGAACACCACGGAAATAATATACGTATAAAGTACGAGCCATTATTTCCAACGTCTCCGATCGACCCTAATACGCTATAACACATTTGTTTAGCATCGCGGTAGTATAGAACCGGTAGAAGAAAATTAAGTCCGGCGAGCGCTCCGCGTACGCGTACGTATTTAATGGCTCGGTAGTTCGAGGTGCGAAGCGTTTCCAGCGATTTTCACGATAATAGAACGGCCTGTTTCGAAGGCGATGCCGCGGTATCCCGTGGTAACGAGGATGTCGGGTGAAATCACCGCGTTTCGAGGTCGATCTCGGAACGCGAGAGAACCTTGGAGCCGTTGAAGGATTATTGCCGCAAAATTCATATCCTCGACGCTGAATCTCGATCGCTTTCGTCGAGGCGATTCTCGCGTATAAAACGCGATACTCTAATTGCGAGGGAAGCGCTAGATTCTCTCGCGTTGCGCAAACATCCGGTTACGGTTCGAGATCGAGACGTACGATCTCGCGTAAAATGTTGTTATTGTCGTTGCACGGGTCTCCGATATATCGGTTTAAACTAGAAAAAGTCCAGACCAGAGGTGTAAATCGTGCCGAACAACAGCGAACGGGAGAAGTCGGGAGACGCGTGGCGCGGCGTGGCGCGGCGTGGCGCGGCGTGGCGCGGCGAGGCGAGGCTCGAATAATTTCGTTGGTAATGCGATTCCAACGACTTCGGGGCCGGAGCCACGCAACGCACGTACACCGACCCGTTTAACGAAAAGAGAATAGGACTCGTTAGATAAGACGGCAACGTGTTTCTACCTGCCTGTTGACACTGCGTCTCTTTGTTATCGGCTAGATAAGATTTCTGCGTCTTTGTCGAACTTGAGGCCTCAGTTTTCCGCACGAATTCACGGAGTGCAGCTCACCGCGGCGCCGAAAATTGCATGCCGCTGCGGAACGACAACCTCGATCGCTCGATCCCGGTGACTTCCGCCCGATCCACGGTCCATCGAAAGCCCTCCGATAGCGAGTTCCTCGAATCGACGTTCGACGTTCAATCTGAAAGGTGAGTCTCCCGAAACTTGTCCTCGGTTCGTCGAGACCGGTCGAGATCGATCGAAATTGATCGAAATTAGCCGAAATTTACGGAGTTCGCGAGCCGTGTAGAAACGTTTATCTCTATTATCGCAACGATAGGCGGGAGCCATCTTGAGGACCGATAAAATCGTGGCGATTACCTCGTCGCGATCCGGTTGCATTTCCATCGGTGCGAACGGCGATTGGGTAATTCTATTGCGCAACGAAAAGTTCGGAATGCGAGGCGACCGCCGTCCGTCGAGCATCCGTCGAATCCTGGAATTCTCGAATCCTCGAATCGTCGCGGATCTCCGTCGTTCTCCCGAAAAATATATCTCTTCGGTTCGCGGCCGGCGAATTCGGCCGTGAAAAAGCGAGCCGGGGGCAAACGAGGCAATTAGCGGTGGTCGGAGCCGGGAGCCGCGACAACCGAACGAAAACCTTGCCGAGAGAGGACAGGGACGGACGCGATCGCCTTCGAATCGAGATGTACTGTTTCAAGTTCGAAGGGAAAACCACGTGGATCGCGGTCGCGCGCCGATCGATCGCGCTCGGTCACGATCACGGCCGATCGAACGAGCATCGAATAGTCGCGAGTCGCGATCGTCTAGAAATCGCCCATCTGCGAACGGATCGAAGCAACAGAATTCCTAGTAAATTAACTTTTGTTCGGAGATCGGTTCGTCGAACTACAGCTATCGAAGTTCTTTATGCCAAATGAGTCACAACTTCTACGTCTATCGCGTAAGATACGAAACTTGGATAAATTTCGATTGTCCTCGTTCTTAGTTCGAGCACGAGTATTCGATTCGAATCTATATTTCACAAACTTTGAGAAACTCTTATTTCTAAACTGCAGATTTTACGCGTTCGCGAGGACATTTATTGTTATTATTATTATTATTATTACTATTATCGTTGTTATTATTAGAGAGTACCCGAGTCAGCAGATTACTGCGATAAGGGAAGAAAAGAAGATTAGGGAAAAAGCGTGAGTTCGCCGAATGCGAACTTGAAAGATTTCCTTCGTCGGAAATCGCGATCGCGATCGCGATCGCGATAACAATAATCTAATGACGTCAGCAGCTCCGCCAATTCGAAGCAATCGCGAATCGGACGACTTCGACGACAAAGACAACGACGACTCTCGTTCCATCGTTGTGCAACGAGAGAATTACGAAACGTCGTTGCGCGCGTGCAGAGTATCGCCCACGCGCCGTTACGTAAAGCGATCGGAGAAAGGGAAAATTTAGAGAATGCAGAAAACATCGAAGGTCGAAAAGTAGGAAAAGAAAGTCGAAGAATCGTCGAGTTTCCGGCGTGTCTTCGAACGCGTTTCCCGAAGCGAGTCGCGAGAGTCTCGGACGAACGCGCGGTTAAAACAAAGTTCGACGAGATCCTGCTCGCGACGACCGATCGAACACCCTCGTCGCGCCCCGGATCCCTGAAAGCCCGAGTTCTTCGTAACCGAACGTGTCGTTGCAATTCTCTGAAAATACATTCGACGCGCCGTTCTTTCTCGGATCTTCGGATCCTGTGGAGCAAAACTTTTGCATTTCGAAAGAGTCGTTCGCGGTCTCCGAGCTTCGCGACACCGGGACGGAAACGCGATGGGAGGACTCGGCTATGAAAAGTCGCGCAGAATTTTCAAGCAGCTCGTTGCGCGGAAAGGCGAGCAAAGAAATCGCGATATCGTTTCGCTACCGATAAGATCGACTGTGGCCTTCGCAAACTCGCGAACTCGCCGATTCACCCGACGGTCGCTCCCGACCAACGCTGCTCGAGAATAATCAGGCCGAATTACGTAAGGCGAGTCGAAGTGCGAGCGTTAACACTGAACCTGGCCAACGCGGCGGAACGATCGCTCGACTCGACGTTTCGCCAGGTTTCGACTTTGCAACGAATTTCTACGCGGGTCCTTCTCGTATTCGAACGTTGCCGAAACGCGCGAGATCCGCGCGGTTATACGCTGCGAAGCGAGTAGACGCATTCGGAAAGCTCTAATTAAGTAATTCGGTCTCGCGAGACAGAGAAATTCGTTCGCAAATTCGACGAGCTCGCATCGAGATTCGCGATCGCCGGTTTTCCGCGCGGGTCTTCGACGAACGAACCGCGGCATCGTGGATCGTTCGTTCGCGTCAAAGAGATCTCGGCGAGACGATCGAGGGAGTTTTTTGCCACGAATGTCGGTCGATCCGTGAGAATGTGCTAATTCGTTGTGACGTAACCCGCGAGCGGCCGACGCGCGTACGTCGCGCACTGGACGTCGTTAGCACGAGCGTGCGACCATTGGACGAGCTAAGCCCGCGGCCGCGTGCTCGCGCTACGCGTACCTCGCGTACTTTGGTTTACAGCGTTTACGGCGTTTACGGCGTTCGCGGCGTTTTCGGCGAGTCGGCGAGTCGGCGAGTCGGCGAGTCGGCGATCGTCCCGATTCGCGTCCAGAGACGCGTTTTATTTTCGGTTCCGGAGAATCTCGCGACGGTGGCAGCGCGACAGACTCGAAAACACGATTTCGAGTCGCGGACGTCGCGCGAGGAGCGTCGCGAATCGAAAACGAGCAGACAAATATTTGCCCCGGCTCCGTGATAATCGTCATAATAAAGGACGCGATAAAGCAATTCTGGTGCGCGCGGCTCGATAACCGGCCTACGTTATCTTAATTAACACGACGAACGAGGGACTCGGCGAGAGCGAGGGACTCGGATCGAATCCGATAAAACCGAAGCCCCTTCGATCGTCGACGGGGAAATGTTTACACGGGAAACGTTTCCACGAAACCGTCCCGGAAAAGAGAGAGAAAGAGGGAAAAGAGAGTAAAGAGGGAAATCGGTTCGAAGAGGTGCTCCTCCGGTTTCAGGTGTGAAACGAGTCTGCCATCGACATGCGTCGGACGAGGAGTGCAAGATGAGGTTCTCGTGCTTCCCGAGACCGAACATCCTGGGACAGAGTCGTAGCATCAATTTTCCCCCTTTGCCAGCGAACAACGACGACTCCGACAGCGTCGTTGGCATAAGTATCGTGGTAAGTAGAACGCGCGCGCGAGCGACCTTTCTCCGTATTCTCTTCCGAAGATTTCTCTGCCACGGATCGCATCTCGGAGCGAAGGCGACTCGTCGGCGTAGCGATAATCGATTTTTCGTTTTCCCGTGCAGAATGGAAGCTACAGGCAGCCCGTGGAACGAGAGCTGAGCTACGGCGTGGTGAGTGATCGCTCGAACACCGATTCCTCCGTTCGCGTTCTACGTACAAAATTATTAGGGTATCGTGACGAAAACGATGTTCGGTTCTCTCGAGATACGTATTTTCAAAAATGTCTATCGAAGTTGTTCGAACGCTTCTCCGTTACATCGTAAACATTTCCGATGACGTTTTCCCTTTCATTGTTTTCATAACCGCGTCGATACGAGTCGCACACCTGTCGCGATATATGAACAGTCGCTCCCATTAATATTCGGGTACGATACCGTCGCTTCGCGTTTTGCCGCGTACGAGGTGCGTGATTCTGGTAACGCGTCGCTTCCACAGTGCGCAACGATTCGCTATTTCTTACAGATTGAAAGTACGCGAACGATATTTTTCTAACGATAACGTTCGTTGGCGCGATACATTTTTTAAAAATAAATATTTTATATATCGGTTGTGTTGAAAATTTCGATCGTAATATATTTTGTCGCGAATCCTTTCCGTTTAGTACCATCGGTTAATTATTAGTCCATTAATTATTAGTCCATCGGTTGTTACGATCGTTCGATCGACTGTGCGGCGTGCGACGTTGATCGGAACAGACGTTCCTTCGTTCAGATACGTCCCCTGGCCGATGCGACGGCAACGGCAACGACGACAACGGTCAATGGAACGAACCCGCTTCCGAACTCCGGCGGAAAGAGCAAGGCGCCGCCTCCGCCTCCGCCATCGCAGCCTCGAAACCGCAGTCCTCTCCCTACGCATCGGGAAAACGATCGAGAGGATGCCGGACCCGCGACCGACGCCGATCGGCCCGTCAACAATCCTAGGGGTGGTGTCATCGGCAGGACACCCACGCCACCCTCTGCGCCGACACCCGTCTACGACAAAGATGCCAAGTAACGATCGCTATCGTTGACACTTTATCCCTTGCGCCAAAATACCCGCCCTGGTAACTGGTAACTGGTAACTGGTAACTGGTAACTGGTAACTGGTAACTGGTAACCAGCGACCGGACGTCCGGTTCGAATTTGCATCCGACACGCAGAAGGGCCTGATTCGATTCTCGGAATGGTCGAGTTCGGCGAGACGCGAACGGCAATTTGTGTTGCAGGAGCAGCCGGCAGATCAAGAAGGCCATTCTGGAGAACGAGTTCCTCGGCAACCTCGAAGAGAACCAGGTGGATGCCGTCGTCTCGGCGATGTACCCTAAACAGATACCGCCTAGCACCTTGGTGATCAGAGAAGGAGATATGGGTACAATAGATTCGCGTATTATTTATCTCGCGTGTAAATGCGAAGCGAGCGTAATTACCGGATCTCCGNGAACGAGAGCTGAGCTACGGCGTGGTGAGTGATCGCTCGAACACCGATTCCTCCGTTCGCGTTCTACGTACAAAATTATTAGGGTATCGTGACGAAAACGATGTTCGGTTCTCTCGAGATACGTATTTTCAAAAATGTCTATCGAAGTTGTTCGAACGCTTCTCCGTTACATCGTAAACATTTCCGATGACGTTTTCCCTTTCATTGTTTTCATAACCGCGTCGATACGAGTCGCACACCTGTCGCGATATATGAACAGTCGCTCCCATTAATATTCGGGTACGATACCGTCGCTTCGCGTTTTGCCGCGTACGAGGTGCGTGATTCTGGTAACGCGTCGCTTCCACAGTGCGCAACGATTCGCTATTTCTTACAGATTGAAAGTACGCGAACGATATTTTTCTAACGATAACGTTCGTTGGCGCGATACATTTTTTAAAAATAAATATTTTATATATCGGTTGTGTTGAAAATTTCGATCGTAATATATTTTGTCGCGAATCCTTTCCGTTTAGTACCATCGGTTAATTATTAGTCCATTAATTATTAGTCCATCGGTTGTTACGATCGTTCGATCGACTGTGCGGCGTGCGACGTTGATCGGAACAGACGTTCCTTCGTTCAGATACGTCCCCTGGCCGATGCGACGGCAACGGCAACGACGACAACGGTCAATGGAACGAACCCGCTTCCGAACTCCGGCGGAAAGAGCAAGGCGCCGCCTCCGCCTCCGCCATCGCAGCCTCGAAACCGCAGTCCTCTCCCTACGCATCGGGAAAACGATCGAGAGGATGCCGGACCCGCGACCGACGCCGATCGGCCCGTCAACAATCCTAGGGGTGGTGTCATCGGCAGGACACCCACGCCACCCTCTGCGCCGACACCCGTCTACGACAAAGATGCCAAGTAACGATCGCTATCGTTGACACTTTATCCCTTGCGCCAAAATACCCGCCCTGGTAACTGGTAACTGGTAACTGGTAACTGGTAACTGGTAACTGGTAACTGGTAACCAGCGACCGGACGTCCGGTTCGAATTTGCATCCGACACGCAGAAGGGCCTGATTCGATTCTCGGAATGGTCGAGTTCGGCGAGACGCGAACGGCAATTTGTGTTGCAGGAGCAGCCGGCAGATCAAGAAGGCCATTCTGGAGAACGAGTTCCTCGGCAACCTCGAAGAGAACCAGGTGGATGCCGTCGTCTCGGCGATGTACCCTAAACAGATACCGCCTAGCACCTTGGTGATCAGAGAAGGAGATATGGGTACAATAGATTCGCGTATTATTTATCTCGCGTGTAAATGCGAAGCGAGCGTAATTACCGGATCTCCGTTCGACGAATTGTTCAGGGTCGCATCTTTACGTCTCGGCGGAAGGCGAGTTCGACATCTATCAGGGCAACAAGTTCCAGAGGAGCTTCGGTCCCGGGGTCGCCTTCGGAGAGATCGCTCTCCTGTACAATACGAAACGTCTTCGCTCCATCAGCGGTAAGTTGCCGGCCGCGAGGCGAGCGGACGGATCTCTCCGTCGAAAGTCCGTGGCCCGTGGCATCTTCATCGACCACGCGTTCGGCTTTCAGTGAAGAAAGGTGGGAAGGTATGGGTCCTCGACAGGTCGGTGTTCCTCACCATCATGATGAGAACGGCCCAGGAGCGGCTGGAGGGCAACGTCAGGTTCCTGCGACAGGTCTCCGTTCTCCAGAAGCTGCCGGAACCGAAGGATCATCTCCTCGCTAAGATCTCCGACCTCATACGGCTGGTAGGTAACCCGACCCTTGTCCCGCGTTTCGTCGATCTTTCGAGCGAGAACGACCCTCGAAGCTGAATACGATCTCTTCTTCCTCTCGCGTTAGGAGTTCTTCCTCTCCGGCGCCAAGATCGTCACCCAAGGCGAGAAGGGCGACAAGTTCTACATAATCAGCGGAGGCAACGTCAGGATCACGAAAAGCACGGAGCAGGGAGGCGAGGTGGAAATGGTTGTCCTTGGAAAGGGTCAGTATTTCGGGGAGAAGGCTCTTTACGACGACGAAGGTGAGAATCGACGACACGCGACCGCCGTGGCTCTCGCACCTGGCGTAGAATGTCTGACCTTGGACCGAACGTGAGTCGCCGTTAGTCGCGCGTTACTCGAATCCTCGAGCGGCCTATCGTCGCGACGCGCGTCCGCGCGTCCGCGCGTAGATCGGATAGTCCGCTCGAGGATCGAAGAATCGCCTCGAGGTGTCCTCGAGGTGTTCTCGAAGCTGGCCGCTCGATCGACTCGAGAAATCGCACTTCAGATCTTTCTTGAATTATCTGGGCGGTCTCGACGAAATTCGGAACAAGAACTGGGTGGCGGAGTACGAGAAGCAAAAGCGGTCGCTGACGCCGAGGAATTGGACCAACGAGTACTTGGAGCTCGCGTTGACGGACTTGGAGACCAGAGGCACTTTGGGAGTCGGTGGATTCGGCAGGGTCGATCTGGTCGTCTTGAAGTCGGACCGGGACAAGAGCTTCGCGCTGAAGAAGCTGAAGAAGAAGGTGATGGTCGAGCAACAGCAGCAGGAGCACGTGCTGAACGAGAAACATATCATGCAGGCTTGCGATTCTCCGTTCATTTGCAAGTTGGTAGATCTTTCGCGGACGGATCGTGCGTCGCGTCGACGTTTTCGAGGACGACGAAACGAGGTCTTCTCTGATTTCTCGATCGTCTTCCAGGCTTTATCAGACGTACAAGGACAGCAAGTACGTGTACTTTCTGATGGAGGTCTGCCTCGGAGGAGACGTCTGGACGACTTTGCAGAAGAGACGACACTTCGACGACGCGACCGCGCAATTCATGGTCGGATGCGTGGTCGAGGCTTTCGATCATCTTCACTCGCTGAACATCGTCTACCGTGATTTGAAGCCGGAGAATCTGATGCTCGATTCGCGCGGATACTTGAAGCTCGTGAGTTCTCTCGCGGCCAACCGCGAGTTCGTTCGAGCCGAGCGTCGGTTTCGCTCGTAGCTCGAACTTACGCACGAACGAAATCTCGATAATCCCTGCGAAACGACGAGCGCGTATTCTTGCGTATTATTCTTTCAGGTCGACTTCGGCTTCAGCAAGAAGATAGGACCTTCCAAGACCTGGACGTTCGCCGGTACTCCCGAATACGTGGCACCGGAAATTATCCTGAACCGAGGACACGACAGGTGAGAGAGAGAGAGAGAGAGAGAGCGACCTCGATCGGCTGTTCGACTCTGTAAACGAAAAACGATCGTTGGCATAATTTCGAATTTCGCGAAAGGGCGGTGGACTACTGGGCCCTGGGGATCCTGACCCACGAACTACTGGTCGGCAAACCACCGTTTCGGGCTGCGGACCACATGACCACGTACAACAGAATCTTGAAAGGCATCGAGGTGGTCGGGATACCGAGCATCGTCGGCCGGAACGCGAGCAACCTGATCAAAAAGCTTCTTCGTCTGAACCCGTCGGAACGCCTCGGGTACCAAAGGAACGGCATTCAGGACATTCGAGATCACAAGTACGTTCCTAATTGCGACGGGTCGCCAGCGTTCGACGTTTCTCTAGTTCTATGGTAGTTCGATGTCGCGCGACCCCGACGGACGCGATGGACCTATCGAAAAGTTGATATTCGTAGGAGATGAATCGGAGATTTCAATCGGCAGGCCTATGCAGAGTCGTTGTTTTATTTTGCAGATGGTTCCACAACTTCAATTGGCAGGCCTTGCAAAAACTAACCTTGCCGGCGCCGATCGTCCCCACGGTAAGCGAATTCATTTCACGAATGATCGACGAATATCGACGCGCGACGGAAACGAATGCGTAAATCGATCGATTCGTGCTGTAGGTACGGAGCCAAATCGATACGAGGAACTTCGAGAGGTATCCGCCGGACCACAGCGTTCCACCCGACGAGTTCTCCGGATGGGACGAACAATTCTAGCGGCGTCGACGACCGAGGACGATCGATGGACAGCGTCGATCGAGCGATGAGAAGATGAGACAGCCTTCGCGGGTCGAATCGGAGAATCCGCCGACGACGCGAGCGACCGCACAATATATCTAATCGATCGTTCCGATTTAACCCGGGATACGTACACCGACGCGCACGGTCTTACGATCGGTCCGAAAAATCTTTTCACGTCCGTTAAAGCGGCGCAAGAGATATCTATGCGGTTGGAAGGAATCGCGAGCCACGTTGTTGTTGTTGTTGTCGAGATCGAAATACGACGTTCAACCGTGTACGTTGCGTCGAAAGAGATCGAGAAGACAGCAGCGAACGTTGTTCGTACGTCGGCTGCCGATCCTTCCAACGTTTAGCATTCCAAAAGAACCGAAACCGTTCGAACCAATTTCTGGACAGCTGAATATTCGATTTCAAGCGTACGAAACTATACGTTGTACCGTACGCGATACTTGTAACTGCACGCGCCCCTGTTGAATCGATACCAAATTTATACTCGAGTTAATAAAAGAAAGTCTGAAAAAACAAACGAACCCTGCGTCTTACACTTAATTCGACCCGACCAAATCGGACCCTTCTACGAACCACGGATGCGCCTTGCGCCTTGCACCTTGCATCTTACACCTTGCACCTTGCACCCTGCACCCTGCACCCTGCACCCTGCACCTTGCACCTTACACCTTACACCTTGCACCTTACACCTTACACCTTACACCTTACACCTTACACCTTACACCTTACATCTTTTGTAATTCGAGATACGAGGCTCGTGTAGATCTATCGCGCGCGCAACATGACACAAAGAACGATCCTACAATAGCCTGCCTCGAGAAAAATCGCGTTACACGATTTCATATGTACCTTCCGCGATATCGTATTTATCGAGTGCACCTGTCATTGCGATTTAATCGCATTATCCGCCGTAGCTGGATAGTGCGATTCGCTCGAGATAAGGTCGACAACGTCCTCGATAAACCTCAGTGCGTTACCAATAACTAGCGACAACCAACGGGTCAATTAGTCGAAGACGAACGAGTCGTTTCCGATCCGTGTTCGCGAGAACCTGCCGCCGCGATATTTTTCGGGAGAGGACATCATCTCGAGCAACCGTACCTCGGAGATGCTTTCCCTGTGTTGCCGGAGGACGTCCGAGATGACGACAGATACGTTCAGTGGCCAAGAACGCGTCGACGACGATTACTACGGAGAACTCGCGACTGCGAGGAAGCGCGGAGTGATCGGGGACCTGGAGTCCGGGAATGCTCGAATCGTTGTCTACGAGAAGAGCGAAAAGTAAAGAGAGAGAGAGAGAGAGAGAGAGAGAGAGAGAGAGCCAACCATCGAGCGCGAGTCATCATTTCGACGACGAGATCCGAAAGAATCTGATTCGTGCGACTTTCAGGACCAAGGAGCTGATCAAGGATGCGATACTGAAGAACAAATTCCTGCAAGACCTCGACGAAAAGCGGATCGGCGATCTGATCTCGACGATGCGCCCTAAGACCGTGGAGGCCAACAGCAGGATCATTCACGAAGGAGAAATCGGTGAGTGAGTAACGCGATCGGAACGCGGCCGTTCGTTATCGCGCGCTAATCGCTCCGATGAAATCAGGCACGCATCTCTACGTCTCCGAGGAGGGCACCTTCGAAATCTGCATCGGCAACGTCTCCCATGGGGCCTTCGGACCCGGCGTTGCTTTCGGGGAGCTGGCGCTGTTGTACGACACCAAGAGATTGTGCTCCATCGACGGTAGCGAAATTTTTCACGACGAGAACGTCGATCGCTGAATCGATCAACGGCAACGTCGTTTTTTCACTCGAATTACTGAAATTTACCGACTCGTTTCCCTTGTTTCTTTCGATCGGATCGAACCGGTTCCATGTCCAATACCAAACCGTTTTCCTCCAGCGAACACGAATGGCAAGGTGTGGATACTGGATAGAAGCGTGTTCCATTCGATAATGGCGATCGGCAACGAAAAGGAGATGGAACACAGCATGCAGCTGCTTCGGAAAATTCCAATCTTCAACGACATACCGGACGAAGCGCTTGTGAAGATCACTGANCACCTTACACCTTACACCTTGCACCTTACACCTTACACCTTACACCTTACACCTTACACCTTACACCTTACATCTTTTGTAATTCGAGATACGAGGCTCGTGTAGATCTATCGCGCGCGCAACATGACACAAAGAACGATCCTACAATAGCCTGCCTCGAGAAAAATCGCGTTACACGATTTCATATGTACCTTCCGCGATATCGTATTTATCGAGTGCACCTGTCATTGCGATTTAATCGCATTATCCGCCGTAGCTGGATAGTGCGATTCGCTCGAGATAAGGTCGACAACGTCCTCGATAAACCTCAGTGCGTTACCAATAACTAGCGACAACCAACGGGTCAATTAGTCGAAGACGAACGAGTCGTTTCCGATCCGTGTTCGCGAGAACCTGCCGCCGCGATATTTTTCGGGAGAGGACATCATCTCGAGCAACCGTACCTCGGAGATGCTTTCCCTGTGTTGCCGGAGGACGTCCGAGATGACGACAGATACGTTCAGTGGCCAAGAACGCGTCGACGACGATTACTACGGAGAACTCGCGACTGCGAGGAAGCGCGGAGTGATCGGGGACCTGGAGTCCGGGAATGCTCGAATCGTTGTCTACGAGAAGAGCGAAAAGTAAAGAGAGAGAGAGAGAGAGAGAGAGAGAGAGAGAGAGAGAGAGAGAGAGCCAACCATCGAGCGCGAGTCATCATTTCGACGACGAGATCCGAAAGAATCTGATTCGTGCGACTTTCAGGACCAAGGAGCTGATCAAGGATGCGATACTGAAGAACAAATTCCTGCAAGACCTCGACGAAAAGCGGATCGGCGATCTGATCTCGACGATGCGCCCTAAGACCGTGGAGGCCAACAGCAGGATCATTCACGAAGGAGAAATCGGTGAGTGAGTAACGCGATCGGAACGCGGCCGTTCGTTATCGCGCGCTAATCGCTCCGATGAAATCAGGCACGCATCTCTACGTCTCCGAGGAGGGCACCTTCGAAATCTGCATCGGCAACGTCTCCCATGGGGCCTTCGGACCCGGCGTTGCTTTCGGGGAGCTGGCGCTGTTGTACGACACCAAGAGATTGTGCTCCATCGACGGTAGCGAAATTTTTCACGACGAGAACGTCGATCGCTGAATCGATCAACGGCAACGTCGTTTTTTCACTCGAATTACTGAAATTTACCGACTCGTTTCCCTTGTTTCTTTCGATCGGATCGAACCGGTTCCATGTCCAATACCAAACCGTTTTCCTCCAGCGAACACGAATGGCAAGGTGTGGATACTGGATAGAAGCGTGTTCCATTCGATAATGGCGATCGGCAACGAAAAGGAGATGGAACACAGCATGCAGCTGCTTCGGAAAATTCCAATCTTCAACGACATACCGGACGAAGCGCTTGTGAAGATCACTGATCTGATAGCGGTGGTAAGCGATCGGTCTTTTCGTCTTTTCGTCTTTTCGTCTTTTCGTCTTTTTCCCATTAATACGGACAGCGTTTGCGTGGAAACCGTGTTAGGCTCGACCGACGAAGGGCAAATTATTTCGATAAAGATCGTCGTTGCTTTCGCTTTATTACAAGGAATTCTATCCTGCGAACGTGTACGTGATACGACAAGATGACTACGGCTCCAAGTTCTACATCGTGAACGCTGGAAGCGTTAAGGTAACGATGAATAGTCCCGGAGGAATAGAAAAGGAGATGACAATCTTGAACAAAGGTGACTATTTCGGCGAGAAAGCTCTCTACGAAGAAGAGTCCTGTAGAAAGGCGAACGTGATCGCGATGTCCCCTGGAGTGGAGTGCTACACCATCGAAAGATCGTAAATCAATCGTCGATTCTCTGGATTCTCGATTAAAAACAGTCTCTCGACCATCCCCCGTCCCCCCGTTGCCCCGTTGCCCCGTTGCCCCGTTGCCCCGTCACCGATTTCGAGTAAATACGTTCACACCGCGGACTAACTTCTCGTTAGTCGCAAATTAACCGACTAATATCGATCGGTCGATCGTCGAACTTGCCTCCCTTTCTTTGTCTTATCTTTTCATTTTTCACCAGGCTCGATACTTAACAAATCGAGCATCGAGTCGTTCGTTCGGTCGACAAAGTTCTCCGGAACTTTCCGAGTTGCGACCGAATGTTTATGCGTCTATCGTGCATCAACTTCGTCAGCGTTCCGCCAATTTGGCACGAATGGACAGCTTCGAGGCTCGAGCTGTAGAAACGAGGGACGGACGAGGGTTGGTCGAAAGATTCCGCAGACCGCGCTTATCGCGATCGTCTCTGCAGAGATTTCCTTACGTACCTGGGCGGTCTGAACGCCATCAAGAACAAGAACTGGCTGCGGCACCAAAAGTCCACGGAACCCGACGACTGGAGCGACGGTTTCAAGAGCTTGACCTTGTCGGACCTGATGTTTCACACGACCATCGGGGTTGGCGGATGCAGCCGAGTCGAATTGGTAACCGTGAAATCGATGCCCGACACCAGCTTCGCTCGCAAGAAGATCAAGAAGCACACGATCACGAAGGAAGGCTTCCAGAAGATGGTCTACAACGAGAAGATGAACCTGAGGCTGAGCGACTCGCCTTTCGTTTGCCGGTGAGGAACAGATTTGGGAAAGAGTAAAAATACGTTACGTTCCAGAGCTAGGTTTTCTCGACGAACGTTTCTTCCAGATTGCACAGGACCTTCAAAGATAAAAGATACCTGTACTTTTTACTGGAGGTGTGTCTCGGTGGAGATTTAAGGACAGCCTTGTACAGAAACGGTCGTTTCGATAATAAGAAAACGAGATTCGTCGTCGCATGCGTCGTCGAAGGTCTGAACCATCTTCATTCGTTGGGCATCGTTTACAGGGATTTGAAGCCGGAGAACGTCGTGATCGACGGTCATGGTTACGCCAAGCTTGTGAGCCTTTCTTCTTTTTTACCGATACCGATACCGATACCGATCGTTGGCAGCGTTTTGCTGATTTTCAAGCGGTTCTTGCAGTGCGATCTTGGAGCCAGCAAATATATCGGCGGCTACAAGACGGGGACCTTTATAGGAACGCCGGAATACTTGGCTCCGGAAATTATACATAGCAAAGCGTACAGCCGGTAAGCCTTTCCAAACTCGTGACCTGAAACCATGGAATCACAGTTAGTTAGCATTAATTGGTATTTTCTTAATCAAGAGCCGTCGATTACTGGGCATTGGGTATCGTCACGTACGAGTTGCTTCTAAATCGGACACCGTTCCAGAGCATCAACGATTTGGAAACGTACAACAATATTCTTTTAGGTTTCAAAGAATCGCTTCTGCCGCCTGCTATAAAATCTGCGACGAAATCGTTCATCGTGGCTCTTCTGCAAGAGGATCCTACCAAACGACTCGGATGTCTGCGAAACGGCGTCGATGATATTCGTGGTCAGAGGTAAGCACGGGTTCGAAAAGCTTTCAGTTATTTATCGGTAACTCGAGAATGTTTCAGATGGTTCCACAATTTCAAATGGCAAGATTTCCAGCAACGTAATATACCGTCGCCTATCGTGCCAACGGTAAGCAAGCAATTCGAGACTTACACTCGTCTCTGTTTCATATTTCTACCTCGATTCTACCTCGATCGATTCTACACGCGTATTACAATAATCGCGTTATTCTGATCGCGTAATACGCATCGTACAAAATTGTTCCCGAAGACGGAAATTATACCGAAATAGCTTACCCGCGATAACGGTTAACCCGCCTTTCTCGGTTATGTCGGTTGATTCCTGTAAATTTATAATATTAATTGCTCACAGATAAAAGGTCATCTCGATGTTAGAAACTTCGACAGATACCCGCCGGATCATGCAGCAGCGCCAAACGACTTTGCCGATTGGGATGCGACCTTCTAGCAAAAGAATAGACTAGTTGAGAAATCATTCGATGAAAAGTAGTATCGGATGATGCACGAGTATTAACAAATAGAAAATGAAGGTTATAAATACTAAGGAACTAGAAATAAATAATTTATCAAATACAATTTTAACGATTCGGCTACCGTTTCTTAATTATTCGCATTAATTAGTGGAATACAATTTACAAACTACGCAACAGCTAATTCTTACCGTTTTGAAAATAGCGTCAATTTCATCTACGTCGGTATAGCCATTGAACGTAGCGGCGACATGCTCAAACTGTTGGACAATGTGACCGACGGAGTAATTTTTTAGTAGAACGATAGAGTGGCGTCATCTTCGGCGAAATCTTGGAACATTGATACTCTACCAGTTCGAGCTCTAATGATTCTTGCCGAAATTTCCAATGAATTTTGTGATAAAAACGGCAAGTACCATTTACGCTGGAATAATACACGCGCGTGTACGTATGTTTTAATTAATACCTCCTCATTCGAATCCTCTCGCCTTTAAATGCTGAAATGAAAACTGCAGGATCGCGCATTTTACGATAAATCTATTCAAGATCGTAGAGGAATTCGAGATTATATCGAAAAATCGATAAATCGCGTTTACAAAGAGTAATCTATTCAGATTCACGTGGCTTGATTCGCGTAGTTCTCGTGTTGTGCGGTATGCTTGAAACTTTTCTTTCCCTGTGAGTATTGTTATCTCAACATTAAGTCGTGAAACGAGCTTCTAAAATATAGTTGTTACGTATAAATAGTGCATTGGTAGCGTGTATCGTGAAATATTAGCTTACGGTTACCAATACGGATTCGAAATTATAATATGTTTCGAAGACTATGGAGAATATGAAGTAGAAGTGCGAAATAACCAGCCGGCGAAATCGATGTAATTTATGACGAAGGCCTTGTGTTTCAACGTACCAGGGACGAGCACAGACGGTTAAAGGTAATTACATGTACATACTTTTTTAAGTGATCGATTCATAATGCGTTTGGAAGTTTCGATCGGTCAACTTCTTCGAAGCACTATGTATTCACGTATCGAAAATTTTCACTTGGACATTGCTGGACATTGCGCAAAGCACGCCGACAACTTCAGGTGGCGCACGCACGATTTGCTGCACTCTGTGCAAATAACCTTGTTGCACCATCGTTCGAACGGTGGTGACTTTACAAATTTTGTAAAACAATTCAATTACGCGTACAAAACAAATCGCGTAAACATGCTCCGACAACAGACAATTTAATGGGCATAGAATTTCTATCACATAGTTTCGTTTGTAGTCGATAACAGCAAACATTCAACAGTGCTGCACCGTATTGGATTACAGTGCGAGAGAGAGCAAACGCACGCACTAAATTTTTTAACGACCACGTACCGCGCACGGTATTAAATGCGGTGAAATGTGAACGATGCGACGATCTGTAATGTATTTACATAAATCGACGAACACCGCTCCGTTATCAGTGGTGACAAGACCTAACTTAACATGAGGTGAAACTAGGTCTGCGAAGGTCTCACTTACCATTAATTTGCAGTGTTTTGTACAAAATATTACACAATGGAGGCCCACGAGAATGAGCAGTATGTTACATTTCCCCTTTCCGGGGTACACGATGGTATACAGGATAACATTATATCTCACGAAGAGATATGCGAACCTGTCGACGAGTGTGTCCTTCAGGAAGGACTTACCGAAGTGTCTGTTACGGATGTGAATGCTGGTATCACAGAGGCGCAAGTCGCCGTTGAAATTTTAGCAGAACACTCGGACGACGATGATGAAAATCGTGTGGTATACCCTATATATATTAAGCAAGAAGAGCAACAGCAATATACGTCGGGGGACGACGAGTCTATGGCTGTGGAGGCATTACGGCAACTTGGTGGAATGTATCCTTGCTTCGAGGATAAAAAAGTATCTTGTCCTAATTGCACAAATCTTTTTTCACAGACTGAGATGGCCAAGCATCATACCGCGTGTACAGCTAACAAATTGTCCTGCATGACTTGCGGGGAAACGTTCGAAAGGAAAATGGACTTGAATAATCACATGGTTTGCCACCAGGTGGATAGACCGCACGCGTGCAGGACTTGCGGCAACTTATTTCGTTCCAAGAGCAGCTTAAGATGTCATATGTTGGAAGTGCATCAAGTGGAAAGGCCTCACAAATGTACGATATGCGGAGCAGACTTCCAGAGGCCTTCCAGTTTGTCTAATCACATGAAAATCCATACTTATGTCGCCGGTCGTGCCATCATGCAGTCGCAGGGTAGCAATGTATCCCAGGCCGAGGAAACGTTTAGGAAATGGCCCGAAGATATGACGGAGGCCCATAATGATCAAGTGCCATCCGCTTCCATACAAACCGTACAAACCTACGACACTGTCCAATGGACGGTTCCGTCGTATAATTTTCATAACGAACAGTCGTCGGTCAATGCGATATCCAATCCTCAAGAAAAGATAGATACGCTTCATGAATTTACTGTAATGCCAAACGGAGAAGTAGCACAATTCGAGTATACGCAACAGAGTAATCTGAATAATCAAGTTGGTCAACAGTATAATCTTTCGCTGAACTCTTTCAATAACACGGACGCGATGGTGAAGGTGGAAACGTTATCGTACAATAGTGAGAACAGGCGAAATTATTCGGAAATCGAAACGAACGGTACGAAGCAACACACGTGCAGGCATTGTGGTATCAGTTTCTCCCGAGCAACGGCACTGGTTTCTCATGAGAAAATCCACGCGTCCAAGAATTGGAATATGCCTATCGAATGCGAATACTGTGATAAACAGTTCCAAGATGGCAATCACTTGGCTAACCATCAAACGACTTGCGCGAAAAAGATGATGCAGAACAACATAGAGCAAGGTACGCCTAACAATAAGTGGGGCAAGCACGCGTGTTCCGAATGCGGCAAGAAGTTCACTACTAAACAGAAGATGTTTAGACACCAATGGATTCACAGAAAGAAGACGCATTCCTGCGAGGTGTGTGGCTCCCAGTTCGAGAAACAAAATCAATTGGATGAACACAGATTGTCCGCGCATCCCGGCGATTCTCCGTTTACCTGTCCAGAGTGTGGCAAAAGTTTTGTGTCCCGTCAGGGACTTTGGGAGCATGGCAGAACTCATGCCGGGAGCCCTGCACATTTTCATTGCGATACATGCTCCAAAACATTTTCATCTAGACAGGGGTACTTAATTCACCATAGGACACACACCGGTGAAAGACCGTACGGCTGTAAATTCTGCTGGAAAGCATTCAGGGACGGCGGTACTCTGAGGAAACATGAACGCATTCACACGGGAGAGAGACCGCACGTTTGTCCCCTATGTTCGAGAGCATTTAATCAAAAGGTGGTTCTAAGGGAACATGTTCGTTGGGTTCACGCGGCAGGGAAAAACGAAACTGAAGTAACCGGACCCCCGTTCCCTTGTCCCATCTGCGGCGCATTGAATCAAGACCGCGATGAACTGTGCGCCCACATTGTCAAGCATTCTGATCAAATGATAGCGGAGGCTAAAGCCAAAACAAACAACAATGCTCCGAAACCGAAGCCAACCAAGAAGAAATCAAAAGCATCCTCCGCTACGATACAAGGGAAGCAAGCAGCTGGAAATCGAATGATCTCCAAGGCCGAACAGAACGAAGCGCTTCTGTCTATCACGGAAGCAGATAAGCCGGATGAGCAGCAGCCAATGTTAAACGATAAGCAAAATAGTACCTTCCTTGTAGTCACTACGGACAAGCGTAATGAAAATTATATTGCAATATCGGAACTCAAGCCTGATAGCGTACAATTGATGGTGGACGAGAAGCCAAACGATAATATGCACATTTCGCAGACTGATCATAGTCATAGGGAGTCTTTAAATATGATTGCTATAGATAAACAGAATAATGCGACCCATATAGTCTCTGCCGAATCGGAGCGAAGTGCACTTCATCCTACAACCAGCCATAATGAAATAACAACAATGCATTTAATACAAACGTCGAAACAAAGCAATACCTTGCACTTAATATCAAAACAGAACGAATCGTTGCCGGTGCTAACATTACCAAATCCTCAGGGTCATGAAAACTTTTCCAGTCGAATTGCACAAATAAGTAATAATGATTTACCAATGGATATGGTAACTCATCATTCGGTTAGGGAAGGTCAAAGTATGAAAGACCCCAATGAAATTGGGCAGGATACATTAATGCAGGAGGGTGGTTCTCAAACAGCTGTAATTCAGGTTGTACAGTATCATCAACACGAAAGCGATGATGGAGAGGAATTGGTCTGTGGTATCTGTGGCGAAGATTTTAACGACAAAAACGTGTTGATGGAACACGTTAAGATTCACATATAATTATTGTTATTGTTTTGCTGTCCAAGTTTGTGATATTCTTGTGCTATTATAACTACTACGACTGCATAGAAAACAATGGAACTATGAACATTTACTAGCGTTAGGAGGAACAAATGCGGAACATTATTATATATTTAAGCATCGTTTACAATAGGAGTATAGAGCAGCACCAGTTTTCTATGTGTCTTAAGAACGCACTGATATTAAAACACAGGGAATTTACGATTATATTTATACATTTTTAATTGATTCGTTTTTCCGTTTCACGATTCCCTAAAATGCTTTTGCACATTTAGGTCGTACACTATACATGTGGTTAAATGTGAGATGTACATGTACTGAAATAAAATCGGATAGATGAATATTTATATATTATATGGAACACGCATTAACGGTTATGGTATCGAAAAAGATAAGGAAAGGAAACATATCGTAAAAGAGAACAGAAAAATAATCCCAGGTTTATGTACTTCTGCTTATAGCAGTTTTATAAACTATTTGGTCCTTTGGATTTGTGTATCGTTCAACGATACGTAAATTGTGAATAATCCAAATGCCACTTACAATGTAGAGCATAAGGTGCAATAAGAAAATAAAGTGCATTTTATTTTCTATATTTATTTCTCACTTTGTACGTACATATTACACTGACGCATACTTTTGTTTATTTTTTCACGGGAACGATCGATACATTTACGCAACGTGCAATCGGATTCTTCGTATTTGAATTGGCGGGCACTTCTCCAAAACAACGTTTCGAAATGATCACGTGTTGATGCCGGGACGAAATACAAGCGCGTGTTGCTACGAGAAATAAATAATTACATCTTGCGATTGTATTTCACAATACACTGTGTTGCATATTATGGGATTTCGATAATTGCTCGCCGACTTCCAATTTACGTTCGACATAAGAAAAGTAAGTACTCGTGCGATTATTATGTTAGCATCTTACCATTACTGTGTCAAATATTATAATTGTCGATTAGCGTTTCAAGCTTGACATAATATTCTGCGCTTATATATACATATATATATATATATATAGGGAAAAGGGGAGAAGTTTGTTGTAATTTCCAATCGAAATTAAATACAACGTACATGCTAACCTGTATTCTAAACACACGCATCTAATCGATGCCGGTGGTGCTGCGACCATTGCTACGCGTGTACATATGTATACAAAAGTGTGTGTAGCGCACGGTACAATGCTACGGTATGTTCTAAGCGCAAAGATAACAGAATAATTGTTACGAACGTGCTATAATTATGGGAACACGGCTCTACTCTAAATATAGTTCTAAAATTGTGAACAGTAAATACGTTTCGAAGTGAAAATATTTGAACTGGAATTCTGCACACGTGTCGAAAAGTCGAAAAGTCGAAACGAACGTTGAAGAGGTTATGTTGTGTTGTCGGTATTTATTTTACCGGACGATTGATTGAAGAAAGTAAAAAGAGTGCCGAAGTGGAGTCGTTGAGAGTAATCGATCGACGTTTCAACGAAAACGCTGAACAATGCCCACGTGGAATCAAATTCAAGCGCAACTTCGGAATTCGAACAACCCTGTGGTGTTTTTCGATGTGTCCGTGGGCACAACCGAAATTGGCCGGATGATTTTCGAACTTTTCGAGGACGTTTGTCCAAAAACCTCGGAAAATTTCCGCCAATTCTGTACCGGCGAGTACAGGAAAGACGGAGTACCTTTAGGTTTCAAAGGTGCTATTTTCCACAGAGTTATCAAGGACTTCATGATCCAGGGTGGTGACTTTGTAAACGGTGATGGAACTGGTGTGATCAGCATCTACGGCGGTGGCACCTTTCCAGACGAGAATTTTACATTGAAACACGACTCGCCAGGCTTATTATCCATGGCAAACAGCGGCAAAGACACGAACGGCTGTCAATTCTTCATCACGTGCGCCAAATGTAACTTCTTGGATGGCAAGCACGTGGTATTTGGAAGAGTAATAGACGGACTTCTCGTTATGAGGAAAGTGGAGAACGTTCCCACAGGGCCGAACAATAAACCAAAAATCCCTGTTACCATATCGCAGTGCGGACAGATGTAGTAACTAGTTCTAACGTATACTTTTCTATGGAACTCGAGGCGAAAATATTGTATTATATTTTGTAAGATTAAAGCCGACGGTCTCCATCGACTTCCATACCGGAGAGAAATTGTTTCGACAACTGCCAGATCGAAGTAACGTAATTTCTATAAGTAAATTAATACAGATTGTCTCAACGATGATCGTCGGATGGTTCCCGGGCGGAATCAAATGGAAAATATTGTTTTACGAACTTCGAACTTTATTACATTCGATTTACATACGAAATAAATACTCCAGCTTACGATCTAGAACGGTATATTATGATTTTGGACCAATATCCAAACGCGAAACACTTAAGTCGAGGTACGCAACGTGCGCGACAATCTAAGACTATAGTTAGTTACATCATCGATTGAGAAAAATTCGAACCGTGAATTTTTAGGTCATTCATATCAAGTTTCAACTCGGGTATTCACGCTAACGCATTCTCGCATAATTCGTTCACGAAACAATTCGGTATGCGTTGCGTCGACAGCCATCAAGAATCGATCGATGTACTTTAAAACAGCGAGAGTCTTATCCTTTCGCAACTACGCGTTCGGTTTCGAGCACGCTCGTATAACACGGATCCCAAAGTAAAATGTTCAAGTACACCAGGTGTTTCCCGCCGATCCAACGTCGGCAGAAAATCAACCGTAAAATGCGTAAACCGTGAAACGGTGAACCGCCAAGCTCGATCTCGGAACGGAATACGTAAACAATAGGTTCGCACCGCTGTCGGCGTTGCACAAAATTGCCGGGCGATTTGGCAATACGGTCAAAGGAGTACGCAATTGTCTCTCGTGGACGACGACTTGGATCGTCCGGCATTGTCCCGATCGTTCTTACGACTCGGCCGGTTGGCCTGCGAGAGAGCAACGACGTTACTCGCGTAGCTGCGGAATCTATTCCACGCGTTCGGTAACGGGCGGCGTGTTCCCGAATCGGATAAATCACGAATCGTCCGGATATCGTCATCGCCGGGATCGTCACGACCTGAAACAACATCAGACCGATCATCATGGTCCGGAGCTCACGGCAGCGATAACAGCTGGTCCCTCCTCTTGGGCACCGTGAGCTGAGGCGCGGTCTACCTGCTGTTGCAGAAGACGTCTTCCTCGATGGTGTCGACCTGCGAGTTGTCGTCGACGACCATGATGGGCGTGGCGCCGTCGTGAAGGCTCGACTTCGAGATGGACCGTTTGTAGACGTCCCTGGTGACGCTCCTGGTGAAGCTGAACTTCCGTACCAGCTTCTTGTCGAGGGCCGCGGGGCTCTTCGGTCCCTTGGCCCTGAACTCGTCCTCGGTGCCGGCGTAGTGGGCCAGCATCACTTCGGTCGCGTGCTCCTCGATCGCGTCCACCGCGTAGTCGATGTCGTCGTCGGTGGCGTTCTCCTTGATCACGCAGAACCGCAGGATGTACTTGCCCATCACCCTGGCCGGGATCATGTGGATCCTGCCGGAGGCGTTGATGTTGGCCAGCAGCTCCTGGTTGATCTCGTCGGTCTCCTTCAGCCGGAAGCAGACCAGGCCGACTCTCACGTCGTTCGTGATCTCGAACCGCTTGTCCTTCCTCATCAGCGTCTCGAACCGCCTGGCCAGTCTGATGTGGTTTCTGATGTATTTCTGCAGGCCGGTCACGCCGTACGATCTCATCACGAACCACAGCTTCAACGCCCGGAAGCGCCTGCTCAACGGGATCCCCCAATGCCGGTAGTCTATCGATTCGCCGGACCTGGCGTGCTGAAGGTAGAGCGGGTCGACCACGAGAGCCGAGGTCAGCTTCACCCTGTCCCGCACCCATAAACACGAGCAGTCGAAGTTCACCAGCAGCCATTTGTTCGGGTTCGTGTTGAACGAGTCCGCGTGATGGATCCCGGCCATCAGCGGCCTCATCTCCGGGCAGATGAACGCGTTCCCGGCGTAAGCCCCGTCCACGTGCAGCCAAACGTTGGGGTAGAGCTTGCACGCCGGACCGATCTCGACCAGATTGTCGAACGCGCAAGACCCGGTCGTCCCCAAGGTGGTGGAAACGAAGAACGGCACCAAGCCGTTCGCCACGTCCTCCCTGATGGCGGACTCGAGCCGTTTGCCGCGCAGAGACCCCTTCTCGTCCGGGTCCAGCACCCGGAGCTTCACCAGGCTGATCATCGCCGCCTTCTCCACGCAGGAATGCGCCTCCGTGGAGCAGTAGGCCACCAGCCGCGGCAGAAAAGCCGAGTCCTCGGTGTTCGGGTCCTGCTCTTTCAGGGTCCTGATCGCTCGAGTCCGCGCCGCCAGCATCGTCACCAGAATGCACTCCGAGGCGGAGCCTTGTATCACGCCGCCACCCTTCGACGACTTGTGCTCCGACAGGAACTCCTTCGGAAGGTCCATCGCCTTCGCGTACCAATCGAGGACGATCGTCTCGAGCTCGGTGCAGGCGGGACTGGCTGCCCAGGAGAAGCCGATGCAACCGATCGCGTCCGACAGCATGTCCCCGAGGATCGAGGGGAACGAGTTCCCCGCCGGAAAGTAAGCGTGGAACCGCGGATGCTGCCAGTGGGTGATCTGGAATCAGATCTGGAATTTCTTTCCTGCGCTCGAAATCTCCTTTTCTCTCGCCCGATTTTCTCCCGACACCGATCGCAACGCGTATCGATCGCGCAGTTTTTGGTCGTTTTCGATTCTCGGTTCTCGCGAGGGTTGGTCGACGCGCGCGAGTCCGTTCGGTCGGCGTCGAGGAACGCCTTGTTTCCACGATAGCGGGGGGTTGGAGGAGGAGGAGGAGGAGGAGGAGGAGGAGGAGGAGGAGGTGGTGGGGGAAGGGGATAGGCGGCAGAGAGGAGGAAGGCTCGATTTCGGAGCGCAGGTCGGCGGCGGTAGCAGCTGGTGGAGGCAAAGCAAACGAGCGGAGAGAACCGCGAGCGTCGGCGTCGGCGTCGGCGCCGGTGGCGCCGCCAACGGCCGCACCGTCAACGGCCGCGCCAAGGCTCACAAGAGCGTCGGTACTAGCGCGCGATCGCGCAGCAGATCGGCCGATCGGCCATCGAGCGGACGTCAGGACATCGTCAGGGTGGAGGAGGAGCAGTATGCCTCGCGGCGCACCTACGTGGAGCCCCGTACAGGCGCCGTACTACCGCCCGGCACCGGCCTCAAGCTGACCAGGGGGCGCGCGACCAACACCGTGGCCCGATACTTGCACTCGGCCTCCACCAACACAGATCACTACCACCACCACCACCACGGGCTGCGGGGACACTATCCCGCCGGCAGGCAGACCGGCAGGCAGACCGGCCGGCACCACCAGCACCATCACCCTAGCCACGCCGCGTTCAGTAATGAGACGCAGGAAGAGATACAGGAGGACGATGAAGCCACTCTACGGGAGTTGCTTGTAAGGTACGTGTCCACGTGCCCACGTCCTCACCAAAACGACAACCTAATACCACCGACCTCCAGACCCGTTCTTTCGA